TTTTCAGGTGTCATTTCTGCAGGCTTACGAATTTACAAAAAAAGGCCATGGACATATCCATGAGTGGATATCCACATGTCCGTGGACTATGGATCTGCAGGTTAAAGTTTGAACTCCAGATGTGAGAAAAGATGGGGCAGGGACACCTTTAAGATTTCCAGTGCTCATCATCAAGTAGGGGAGGGGGCAGATCAAGGATGAGATCATTTCTCTACTGCCCCTTCAGATCTGCTCTTGTAGAGAAGAGACTCAGAACCCTCTGCATTCAAGAATTCACAGGGGAAGCAAATTATAGCTTTATCTTTAACAAATTAAAAATAACTGCCCTCCAAAGTGACAGGAGAGGCTGAGCAGCAGGGAGGCAGCAGAGATAAGACAGTCAGCAGTGAAGCTTTCCCACCCCAACCACTTGGACCCATCAAAGGTGGGCCAGCAGAGATGGTGCCTCCACTCAGGTGTGGGCATGCTGCTGTGAGCCTCATTCCAGTCTCCGAAAACTATCACAATAACTACAAAGTTAAAGGTTAATGACGAAGGGACTCCCTTTCCTGAATAACCTATTCTACTCAGTGTACCGTGTGAGGTACCATAAGAGACAAAATAGCGACATTATGGATTCTATTTCAATATTGTTTCTTTAATGCACATAGCTATTTTTAGAAAGCATTTTCACTGTAGAGCTACAGCAAGCTCAGGAATCCGCGCCTCCTGCCAGACCCCAGCGCAGCCCTGCAGTCATTAGCACTCGCTGTGTGCCAGGCTCTGTGTCGCTGCAGGAGGGACGATGGAGACAAGACAGCGATTGCTGCCAATAGAGCGTGGTGAGCACAGCGACAAGGATTCAGATCCACCCCGATGCTCACTCTCCCACAGGTCTCGGCTGCCCTAAGGAAAATCAGTTTCCGAAGCGCTTGTCTTACACATCCAAACATACCAAGGTGGCAAACAAATGTCACAAAAGGAAGTGTTTTTAAGCCTTGTGCATTTTTTCTCAAATGACTCATCACAGAGTTGAGAAGTGTATACAAGCCTGTGAGTCTGGAAGGTCAGAGAGAAATTAACTTTCTATTTGGGGCAATGAAAATATGGTGGAAATCGTAGGGGCAGTAGTTGCACAACACAGTGGTGAAAGGAATTAATAGCACTGGACTGCACAGTGAAACATGGGCAAGACAATAAATGTGTAGTGTACCTAACCGTGACAATGAGTTTAAATGTTGGAGGATGGAGGTGGAGTGTTTTTCTAGAAGAGGTATTTTATTGCCCTTATTTAGCATGTTGCTTAGACATCTTTTTAAAAAGACTGTTCTCTAGTTTTTTTTTTAATTGTTCTAAGAAATTCAAAATTTGGGTTTACTTTACCTATACACCAGAGCGGAAAGTAAGCAATGTCAGACTGGTTATCTTGTTCAATCCATAATTCATCTCAGAAAGGCAAAGTTTGATCTATCCATAGCACCTTCTCCTTTTTTTCTGTCACCTGTATTTCTCTGTTTGTGACCCGCCCTGACCCTGGAGAAAGAATCCACTTTCAATAGAACTGAGGACAGTAAGCAGTGGTCCAATACCGTATTTCTGATATATTTGTCTGCAATTGTTTCTGTGCTGTTGTTTAAGACTTCATCTAAAGTACAGAGCAGGTACAAATATCAGTTGTTTGGTCCTCCCTGGCTTTCATTATCTGCTTAAGAAAATGCCGTCCTACGGATTCCACAGCAGAATTGTGTGAAGTCAGAACAAGGCCCCCTGATTCAGTGATTCTGGCTGCTTCTCACTAGGCCCTGCTGTTTTCTCTGGGCTGGGAAGGGCATCAGATCATTCAGTCCACCGAGAGTGACCCTCGGGATATAAACAGGAAGTTCTGTAGTTATAAATTTTACTTTTTAAAAATCCAGCCTCTCTCTAGCTATACTTGATTTCCCCGGTTAACTGTGTATCTTGAATATTTTCGTTCCTTTAAGTGTGCCGCCACGGTCTTCAGCGGAAGTGTCTGTGTACCACTGTCTTCAATGAAAGGAAAAGGAAAGATGTACACGTTTAGGCTTACTTTTATTTATTATTTCATGTTTTTAGAAGGAAAATAAGCAAGATTCATCCTGATGATCAAGATTGAAATGCATATGCAATGGTTGTGTTGATCCAACAGTCTGGATTTAAGCAAGAATTCAAACTGATCCAGCTGTTGCATCCGCTGATGAGACCCAAGACACTCTCGGCAGCACGCGGACGTCGGCAGCTCGCTTGCTTCCCTGTCCTGCGGCCTGTGCTGCTTCTCTCCCCTCTCCAGCTTAGTGCGTTTCTGGGTCGGTGCCTGTGTGGCAGCCTAGGACACACACGTTAGGCTCAGTGCTCTCACGACTCAGATGCGTGAAGCCAGGGTGTGCGGGGACCCGCAGCAGAGCCCAGAACCCCTGGGCCGCTGCCTCATGCTAGTTCTGCTCATCTTTCTGTTCTGGAACAGGCCACTCTCTCCAGCAGCGCTTCATGCTCTGTAGTCTGCAGTGTGGAAGTTTGGAAAACAAGAAAATTAAAAACATTGCTTTGGAGGCCAGGTGGACAGTTATCTCAATGGGCATCAGGGGCTGTTAGGCACCAAATACGTTGTGTGCCTTCCTGAGGTTCTGTGGGTTTCAGCCACAGGTCTCTATTACCTGAAGCCCTCCCTACAGAAGTAAGAACCCCAGCATTTTATATATTTGTGAAGAAGTAATTTTGTATAAAGTCAGTGGATTTTTTGCATCTGCTCTGTGTTCAATATTATACCATATGCAAAATGCCAGAGCAGAAGTAAAACAAATCAGAAGCCTACACATCTAAAATACTTCAAAACAGTGTGCAGTTCTCCATAGGAAACAATTAGAAGTCTCACTCCATATATGAGACTTTCGATCTTTGAGCTAGTTCTTTAGTTTATAAAACAGTCCAACCTTGTGTTCATTCTGGAAACCCCTATGATTACACCAAGCCGCACAAATTTCTAATTCTCTTGTACAACACAGGTGGTGTGTGTATGTTATTTATCTTTACCCCCATGTGATTCAAAACTGTACCAGTAGTTGAAAGCATGGGAGATTAATGTATGCAGTTATACTCAGTAGCGGGCAGCATCATACTTGGGCGGTACTGAGGAAGGACTGTGTTCAGGGGCAGTTAGCATTAGGGCTTCCTCACCTCTGGTCAGCCTTTGCTCTGTGTGCTGAGATGGGTTTGGCCCACTGTATATAACAGGATGCATCACTGTCCCTAATTCACACACGAAAAATCTCAAGGCTCAGTTGTACCACTTGCCAAAGAGCTAGGAAGAGATGAAGTTAGAGCAAGGTCTACACCAAGGAAACGCCTCATTGTCAATTGCCATAATAATATCTATCTCAGTGACCTGGGACGTTAGCTCTGACTTTTACTAAACTTATGGCCTCATGGATATGAGACTTTTTGGAGCTGTGGGCTACATCTAAACTCATGTCCTGAAATGGGAAGCTCAGCTCACAGAGTTCTACCTAGATGCTAGGAAATGTCCCCTATGCCGACCAGGAATTACTGAGAAAATCTACCCCCTAGCACCTTTTCTTTCCCCTACAAAAAAAGACTAGAGATACTTAAATAGAACTTGGGTGCAATCACTGGGGATATTGGAGGGGAAAGTAATACGTAGCATGGAGTTGGAGACAGATTTCTCTTTCCCCACTTCATATTCTCTTATCCTGAATAAGAAGATAAAGAATAGTACATTAATGAAATGTTTGGTGAACTGAGTTTGTGATTCATTATAACTATATACTAAACAAAGTCATTATTCTCTCATCATTATTTATGGAAAGTGGGAACATTGATGTCTTTGTTAGACTTTTCATTTTCTGAGGTTTGGGGCTCTCTATAAATGGAACTGTAAATATGCTCACTAAAGTAGAAATGCTATATCTTGTTTTGGGGATTTTTTGGGAAGGCATGTTTTATTTGCAATCCTGGATCATATGTATATGTGCCATTAAGTAAGTTTTGAGATCCATCCACCTCACGGTGAGCGGCTGCTCTTCCTGGGGTTTGTAGATCTCAAATGCCTCATGGCCAAGAACTAGTGACACCAGCAGGAGAGCTATCTGTGGACATGAGTTGGGAGTTATTACATTGCTTCTCATTTTCAGCACTAGCACATCCTCCACAGACCTTGTCAAGGTCAAAAGCACAAAGTACTAGGCAGGGAAGTCCCGAGAAAGCCAAGATCTGACAAATACAGAACAGCTGAGCTGCTGACTTGGCAGATCTGGAATACTAGGGTGTTCTGTGGAAGGCAGTCAAAGCCGGGCAGCAGGGAAGGCAGAAAACCAAAGGAAAGGTGGAAGTGATAAGAGAATTGTACAGTAAGACATTTCAGACAGCAGAAACAGGGGTTGGAGGACATTTAAAGGAAGTAAGGAAGCAAGTCATTAGCTAGCTAATCAGGAAATGAGTAGAATTATGGGTATATTTCTAACATTAAAAGTTGAAAGAATATGCTTCTGAATCTTCTGGAACTTGTCAGCAGCATTCATTTAAAATATCTTTCTGATGTTTAGCCCTTGTGGGAAAATAAAAATGAAAGGCAAACCTAGCTGGGCTTACTTTGCAAGTTTTGGGCTTATATTCTGCCCAATATGCATCTTCATCTTTATTTTTGGTACTTAAATGAAGAAAAATGGTGCCAGAAAAAAATGAATGGAATGTATTATGAAATCAATGAACTTCAGATGGCTGTCGGTCTTGAATCCAGGATTTCTTCATGAGCGTAAAGCAAATCCTTCCTTTTCTTAGTGGTTGAGCAGTCACAACTACCTTAGAGATACCTTTCAGGTGTCAGAGGCACTGTTCTATCTGATCCAAAGCGATTCTATAGAAGAGATAATCACCCAAGCTATTCTTTTTATCAAATACACTGTGTATTTGCGTATTTCATTGTACCAAAAGATATCTGAAAGTATGTGAATGGTTCTTTTCTTTTTCTTCCTTTTCAATTACAGTAGAAAATGGCCCCCATCTACTCGTGCAAGCAGAACAAGCCAAAGTCTTCTCCCACAGGGGCAGCAATGTCACACTGCCATGCAAATTTTATCGAAACCCCGCAGCATTTGGCTCGGGACTCCACAAGATCCGAATTAAGTGGACCAAGCTAACTTCAGATTACCTCAAGGAAGTGGATGTTTTTGTTTCCATGGGCTACCATAAGAAAACCTATGGAGGCTACCAGGGGAGAGTGTTCCTGAAGGGAGGCAGTGACAATGATGCCTCTCTGGTCATCATGGACCTCACCCTGGAGGATTATGGGAGGTACAAGTGTGAGGTGATTGAAGGCTTGGAAGATGACACTGCTGTGGTCTCACTAGACTTGCAAGGTAGGTATCTGTTCAGCAGCTTAAACTGAAAAATGGTAATTTCTCATGGCTCCTTTTGTTTCATGAAAGGTAATGTGCAGTGGTTACCATAGTAATTAATAGAGTGAAAAACCAGAAGTCTAGGCCTAAGGTATTTTTCCATTATTTTGTACTTTGCAGTCTGCCTGTGATTTCAGCTTTCATATTTGAAATGTACACACAATGCTTATGCACACAGCTGAATATGTTCCCAACCAGGGAAAACGTGCAGTGGAACTGAAATAATAATTTTCAGAAATTCCCTTACATGGTACAGAATTTAAATCCCAACATACAATTATTGAGAAATTCATAATGGGTTCTTTTTTATTATGCTTCTAAAATGATCTCAGCTTCAAAATAATGGCAAGTTTTGTAAAGAACATCTATACTGAATTGCTTGGAATTATATTCTATAAAATTACTGCAAAAACTCAATTTAACAAAAAACTAACCTCTTTACTTAAATAAACTCACTAAGTGAAGAAGTACTTGTTTAATGGCCCAGGGCCTTTAGGACACTGTATACAAAATGATCGAGGCATTTTGGAAACGGGAGAGTTCTGTGTCTTGAATATATGTAATATATTTGATAGTTTCTAACACCAACTTGTGTGCAAATCTCTACAAGGAAAAGTGTCCTTTCCAAGTCGGCCTCCCTTCTGTGGAGAAATGTCACTGTTGCTTTTCCTGTGTATCTCAAGTCACCTGACACTTCACAGAATCCAGGAATATTTTACATTGAACAATGAATTTTGGCTGCATGGGCATAGTACTTTCCTTTCATAAAGCTGTAGGTGTGTGTGTATTTACTAGAAGCCCATTTCATCTTCTAGTACAGATTTGTGGCTTTCAAAACAAAACACAGTTTGCTCCACTAGCATATCACTAGAGAGCCAACTTTCTGAAGCCTGTACAAGTCTATCACAGACTTGTGAGTGTCATATATCTTGTGAATCGTAGCATGTTATAAATGCATTCCGGGGACTTCACCGGCCTTCCCCTGGGTAATCCTTGACTCCTGGTAGCATATCAAGTAAGTTTTTCAGTTCTTCTTTACTGACTCTAGTATCTATGAACTTTAGGATTATTTGGGGTGGAAGGAAACTGGCTTAGAGAAGACAGTCACCAAATATTAACAACCAGTTTCTGTTATCCAAGGAACAGTGATAGGTAATAACTGATAATCATAAAGCATCTCTTTTGCTTATGTGGTTGACCATAGCTTTCCAGCTCTTATGTACATAATCCCCAAACCTCAATTAGTCTGGGCTAGCCCAGACTATGTGGAAATTGTCCTTAGGTTATTGGCTAAGCTCTTATCCTTATGGATTTTATTTTATTGTGTGGCTATCATTATAATGTTTTGTAATTTCATTTTAAAATACAAAATCCTTATATAGCCCAGAATCTTGGCTAAAGTAAAGCTTTCTAATTATTACCAATTAATTACATTATTAGAAAAACAACCAACAAGAAATAAGTATTATATTAATATAACATAGATAATGTTACTAGAAATTCAATAAGTAGCTTTACAAAATTCATTGCAGCAATCAATAAATATATTTAAAAATATTAAAATTATATTTGTTCTCTCAATCTGGTGAAAATGAGGCCAGATACATAAAGATAAAGTCTTAGAAATGACAAAAATATTCAGATATGTTCATAGTTCTAGTAGATACTAGAAGAGACACTAAGGAAAGAAAAATTATTTCTACTACATGGTCTTTGCCTTATTACTGAAGTATTTACTTTGTGGCATTATCTTATGGGGTTATGCATACTTATATGTATACCAGGATACTAAAATTATTTATATATGTAACAAATTATTGTTTATCAACAAATAGGATAATTTGGGATGCACAATTATTAATCTTAAAAATATTTCCTCAAAAATATACTAATCCCTTCAGATATTTTATATTACTGTTTTCCACGGGATGTATCATTCTCATTCTTCTCCTTTGTAGTGATGCATACCAGCACTTCATAGAAAAGAGAAGAGCTTTTCGTTATTTTTGACATAAAAACCCAAAGGATAAGTGAATTAGATACAATCATAGACCCTTATTTCCTGCCCATAAGTTTAACTTTTCTGATGTTTGCAATACTGCATGAAAGCCACAATTGATCTAAAATTCAGCTATAGGAATTGTAAGTTTTCCCATAAAGCCAAGAAGTATTCTGCAGTTGAGTGTTGAAATCTTAACTAGCTGAGAGGGAAATACGCAAATAAATTACTAACATACAGTTCCAGCATCATCCTCACTTGGGAAACACATGAATGTTGAACTGCACTTGCTATGTGTATAGAATGTAGTGAAACTTTACAGCTTGGGCTATTCAGACACCGAAGCTGAGCTTGATTTACCTGGCGTGTGGTCTTTCCAGCATCATCAAACACTGATTAAAATTTGTTAAGTAAATCTTTTTAGTACAATCAGTGAGTCCCATTTTAACATAAAATTTCTCTTTGGCTTTAGGAACTGATTGTATGAAGTTATGTTAACTTGGAAAGCAACTAAAATAAAATACATTACACTGGATTTAAAACTACACCAATTGTATGTCAGTAACATGCAATAGGCAACCAAGGAAAAATTCCTAAAGCAATTATTTTCTTAATGCCCGTGAGAGTCTGCCACAGTACACTATAGTGAATTTCAACCTACCAGCTTTTCCAGGGCTCTGAAATTATTATAAATTAAAATATCCTGCATTTTCCAGTGCCACCACCTTGAGACATTAGGGAAAGGGAAGCCAACCCAAACAGAAGATGTTGCAGACGTACATGGTGAATGTTTAAACTTTTAAAATGTATTACAGGAAAAGACACATTGCCATCAATCCCCGAATACTCTCCCTTGCTTTGTGCTTTGAACACCTCATCCCGTTCTTCTTGGCACTTTCTGAAGCAGCTCTGGAAGTCCCCTTTCATGAGTGTCTTCACAAGGTATAACCAAAACTACAGCGAGTGTTCTGCTGAGTGCCACCCAACAGAAAGGCAGGCTCAGAAAATGCTCACGAGCCTCGTTCCCTGGCTCGGGCCCTGTGCACCTTCTGCTCCTCCCCACAGTCAAAATGACCATGATAGCGAAATATTTTTAGTTGATTCAGAACTCCTTGGCCGCCAGGAAAGTGCAAGTGAAGACACTGATGAAGAAGGACTTCCAGAGCTGCTGCAGGAAGTGGTAAGAACCATGGGATGAGCGCGCGCAAATCTCTAAGCGAGGGAGAGTATTACGAGAGGAGTGAATGCCAGGGCATGTTTTGCTGTAAATTTTAAACATTGTAAACATTCACTCTGCATTCTGATCACAACTTACAGTTTCTTCCCTCTTTAGATTTAGGTTCATAGAGATTTTCTGTCACTTGAGTTGTAGCTGCCAAGAGACCCTCCAGTGGATGTGCTGCCTGGGAGTCCTCCCTTCTCCTCTGGCTGTGCTCCTTCCTACACATCCCTGGCAAGAACCTGCACAGGCGGAATGGGATTGGGAAGCCTAGGAGCTCTGCCTCAGGGCCGGTGCCAGCTGCACCACACTGAGGACAACCATGGCTTCCAAAGACGTTTGACACACGAGACCTGGTTCAGACTGGAAATTTCCCTTTGCAGTGTCTCCCAGGACAATTTACAGAAGGAAATGTCTCCTGTGTGCCACTTGTGCTGTTGTGTATCTTGTCCAGGTCTGCAGTCTCAGATTGTGTGGGACAAGCCCTTCAGTTACTGGCTCGGTGGGATGAACTTGTGCTTTCCACATGCTGAAACATAAGTTGTTTCAAAGCATATTATAAACAATACACTCATTCCAAATTAATTGCCTTATGTTAATGATGGGGAAGGTGCTTTGACATATACTTTTATATAAGTCCAGTAGTGGGCTTGAACATCTCTAGCCCATTTTTTTATGTTGCATATTGAGACAAGGTCTGGCAAAATCACTAAATTACCTGGACTGGGCTAGAACTTGAGATCCTCCTGCCTCAGCCTCAAATGAAAGAAATGTGGGACCCACAGTCCTTCTGTATGTCCAGTATATGAAACAAGTTTGCTTTCTTAATCTGGTAGTTTAGGACATTGTGCTGGATGTTGTGAGACAGCTCTATGTCTCCCATCGTTGTTTCATCCAAAGAAATGTCTTTGAAAACCACTGCCTCTTCCCAGGCAATCAAAAGCCAAATGACAGCACCTGTACTTGCTTAGGGCTTCAGCAGTGACCAGCCACTGATGCCTTTTCTGTAGCTGCCTTGTATAAGTTCAGGAAACCGTTCTTTTTTTTTTTTTTTTTT